ATAGACGGAGCGCCTTCAATGTAAGGCACTACTTAGGGAGGATGCTCTTTTTATCACCTCCGAGTCGCTAAGTGGAACCCTGCAAACAACAGTCTTCACACTTCATAACTGTTGCATTTGCTCTTTTTTGGGGGGTTTGTTCGTCGACTTTTTACTCTCTTTTTTTTTTTTTTTTTTTTTTTTTGAAAGCCCAGGGTGTTGTAGAGGCCAAGGACCAGACCCGCGGTGATTGCTCTATAATTCTTAATACATAAGGTGGAAACACTGGAAAGGTCTTAACGAACACCTATTTTCCTGTTCCTTTTGCTGGTTTTCTGTGCTAAGACTTGTTTTCTTTGACTTTTTTTCTGCATTCCTGTTGCCTTCTTCATTAATTGGCAGGTTATAAACCTACTCGATGCTGGTCAAGCATTGGGCCTCACGGTTGTGCGCATCATGGCTGGTAATCTGGGTGCTTTTGTAGTCCAGAGTGGTCCTTCCAACTTCTCCGAAACAGCATTGAGGGTACGTGTAGCCAACGATCATATACCTTTGTCTTTTTTGTTTTGTTTTGTTTTGTTTTGTTTTGTTTTGCAATAACCCATGCCATATGTCTCGTGGAACTGAGGGCCATCAGAAGGCCTACTTGGCCGCCCTCAGCCCAGGCCAAATAAGGGCAGAAAAGGCCCTTCACGATTTCAGGGCCTGGGCGTGTGACAGTTGACTTCGGTCAACTGTCGGTCCACCCAACAGTCAAAGTCCAAAGGTACCTAGCCCAGGCCGCAGGTCAAGCACACACATTTGTCTGTATGCAGGTACCCAGACAGCATCAGGTCCAAGGGAGAAGTCTGCAACTGTACAATCCGGGCCTTGAGATGTGAGTCAATCTGGACGACTGGAGGAAAGGTACCCGAGGCCAGACAGCCTCGACGACTGCTACATAAGGCTGGCCTCGAGCAAGTGCAGCATTCAGTCTTGCTATGCTGGTTCGACGCTGGCTTGACTTTGACTAGACGCTGGCATTATGCTAGCGCGACGCTGGCTGTGCTTCAGTGCTGCGGATGACGACACGAGGTGGAGGCAGCACGCCGGCATTGTACACCAGGCTTGCTGAGGTGGCATGCCGATGTGGCGCTGCTTCTGGTCTTCATGGCATGCTGATGTGGCGTTGCCTCTGGTCTTCATGGCATGCTGATGTGGTGCTGCCTCTGGTCTTCATGGCATGCTGATGTGGCGCTGCCTCTGGTCTTCATGGCATGCTGATGTGGCGCTGCCTCTAGTCTTCAATGCATGCTGATGTGGCGCTGCCTCTGATCTACGTGGCATGCTGATGTGGCGCTGCCTCTGGTCTATGTGGCGCTGCCTCTGGTATATGTGGCGCTGCTCCTGTCTATGTGGCGCTGTTATTGGTCTTCATTGATGATGTGGTGTTTGCCACCTGTCTTGATTGCTGACGTGGCATTGTCCACGCTGTCCACATGAGGTGACTGGTTGCGTGGGAAGAGGAAGATCGGGATCTGTGAATGTAGGGATTGGGTACTCACCTGTAGTTAACGTCGTCGCTGGAAAATCTGCTGTGACTTCAGGATCTTCATGAGATAAAGTGCCACGTGGCACTACTGTGTGTGATCAGGACTACTATACTTGTTATCATCTTCAGGTTGTTGAGGTGGAGAGGGAAGAATCCTGGAGAGGGAGAGGGGTTTGATGGGTTATTCTTTTGTGATCTTTTCCACCTTCTCTTCTGTCTGATCCCCCTCCACTCTCTTCATCAGATGGTCATGAGTTATTGTTTGATTTATCATTTCATGATTTGGAGTCTCTGATGCAGATACTGAGACAACTTGTAATTGACGACTTCTGAGTACCTACTAGACTGGGTTCATTACAGTTTTGTTTTGGTTGCTTTGCTTGCTTTGCTTGCTTTGCTTTGCTTTGCTTTGAACATCACGCGGCAGCTTCTTGATCCAGGTGGTGGTGAGAGAACTGCACAGATGGAGGTCTTGCAGGTAGGATGGCTTCACTCCATTCTATCGTTGGGGTGCTGCACCTGCTGGAAACGGGGCCAGCATCCCAATACTTACATAACAGCCATTTTGTCAAAACGGACGTTCTATATTTAATATTATTTATTGAACGGAATTTCAACTGACTAAACTGGCCCAAAAAAATGTCAATTTCTTTTTTTCGCTCCCCGGCATATTCTTAAAATGCTGTACCCTCTGGATGTATCTGGACTTAGCTTGGAGTCCAGATGCATCCAGGGGGGTGACTGTCGGCTTTCTTTAAGAACGCGGGACGGCCCTCGGGAGCTAAAAAAAACAAACAAACGTTTTTCGGACCAATTTAGTCGGTTTCAATTTCGTTCAATGAATGTGAAATGTCCGTTTTGACGAAAATGGCGGTTTATATACGATCAAGAATAGAAAGAAATTCAAAAAAAGCATACATGTGACAAATAGGGAAGCTATGGCAAATGGCCTGAACAAGGAGCACTACAGCATATAGCTTAGACAAAAGTGGGCAGCAGAAGGTTGTGGTCCTTGTGGATGGATAGAAAGCTGGAGCTGAAAAAACATAATCTGCTAATATACGACGTAAATCAGTATGGTTGGAAATTCAATTCCAAGAGCATCAAAACATATAAGATATTCCATAAGCTTCCGCGCAGATACATGTGTCGAAACTTCATACACAGCAGACTTCAGGCACACATGCATCCCTCTTCGCCCCTCTTCTAATCCACTCACACTACCTCCTCCCAGTCCTCTCCCGCCGGGAAGCCGACCCATAGCTAAAAGCTCTCCTCAGCTTGAAATCGGCATTACAGCTTCCCTCTACGTGTGACGGAATCCTCACGAGGGTGTACTCTCCTGAACTCTTCAGCCGATCAAAAGAGACCCGTGCCTTGTCTCTACCCCACACTTTTACGTTCCTGTCGTGGAGCACGCGCCACAAGGAATCTCTTGATATCTCAGCACGTGCAATAGTCTCACTTTTACTCTCACTTCGGACAGATTCCTATATTCCCCCGGTAGCGTGTCGTCTTTCCCTGCATTGTTCCCCAGCCTTTTCTCTCTTTTTTTTTTGTTTTGTTTTTTTTGTTTTTTTTGTGAGTCGTCCCCATACTACTAAGAAAACTCTCTCCTTCAAGAACCTTCTGTCGGCTGAAAGCCCGCGTTCCCCATAAACATTACCATTTGTCCAACTCTTTGTGGTGTGAACCGCACCGGCCGCCATAACCCCTTGAAGTCAATATGTCATCCACCCAGTTGGCTGTTCAATTGTGAACAGGGAGACGGTCGATTCACAATCGGGGCCGTGTGGAAAGAAAGTGCATACCTCGTTGTGAATTAACCCGTTTTGAAATCCTGATACACACATCCCGTGTCCCTCCCCATGAATCCATTACTCAAAAAGGACAAGAACCGATTCTTCAAGAAAGAACTAGCCAAATAATAATAAATCTCCCTTATACTGGTATTAACTACCACTAGACAGTTTTGCCAATGTCAACAATAGTCAGGAACCATGCGTGATTCGTCCTGCTATCTTTTACTCTGTACACTGTCCAGGTGTGTGCTAACGATTGCGAAATCGTCGCTCCAGTCACTCCAAGATGTAGATTGTGAGTTTCAGCATGGGAGTTCCTCCCCCCTCGCCACCCCCCCCTTCTGTAACGGCTCTGAATTCCTGCATACCACGCTCCGATGGCTCCAATCGTCACTCCAATCACTCCAATCGTCACGCCAATCCCAAGATGTAGATTGTGAGCCGCAAAACGAACATTGTCAACAGTTTTGCACAAAGTTGAACCAGAAAAATGATGTGTGGCCGGACATCGGACAAAGTTAAGGCCAACACGAAAAAGAAACTTAGAACCAGCAACCAGACAACGGAAAACAGTAGCCAAGAAGGAAGAAAGGGAAAGAGAAGGAATGCAAAGCGAAGGAAAGGAAAGGAGAGGAGAGGAGGTGAGAGGAGGTGAGAGGAGGGGAGAGGAGGGGAGAGGAGGGGAGAGGAGGGGAGAGGAGGGGAGGGGAGAGGAGAGGAGCGGACAGGAGAGGAGAGGAGAGGAGAAGAGAGGAGAGGAGAGGAGAGGAGAGGCAAGGAGAGGCAAGGAGAGCAAAGGAGAGGAAAGGCAAGGCCAAGCAAGGCCAGACCAGGCCAGGCCAGGCCAGGCCAGACTAGGCAAGGCCAAGCAAGGCCAGTCCAGGCGAGATGAGGGGAGGGGAGGCGAGGTGAGGCGCAAGGCGAGGCAAGGCGCAAGGCGAGGCAAGGCGAGAGGGGAGGCAAGGTGAGAGGCAAGGCAAGGCAAGAGGCAAGGCAAGGGAAGAGGCAAGGCAAGGAGAGGGGAGACAAGCAAAGGGGAAAGGAAAGGGATTCCAAAGGAAAGGAAAGGAAAGGAAAGGAAGGGGAGGGGAGGGGAAGGGAGGGGAAGGGAGGGGAGGTGAGCGGAGGGGAGGGAAGGGGAGGGAAGGGGAAAGGAAATTTGTGACAGCTTTGGCCCAAAGATAGCAGGAGGGAATTTTGTGACAGCATGGTGCTGAGGATCATATTCCTTCTTGATGAAGACCTTCAGGCCCTTTATGAAGTTCCCATTTGCTGCCTGATTCCTTCCCATCATGGGGAAGGCGTTCCCACTTTCAAAGAGACCTCCCCTCGTCTGCCCCTGAGAGGACTGGTGCTGCACAAGTGGCCACAGTGCCGGCACCATGGTCTGTGCTTATGGGCTTTATATGGATCTTTAAGTTTTTTCCTTTCATCCTGTAATCAATAACATCTTCTTTTGGCAATGGCCGATCTGATGGGTAATCCAGAGCGAGCATCAAAAAGTCATCCCTTTTGGCTGCAAAAAGGAGGGGTCCTCGTACGACGGCTGCCACTTTGTGCTAGAGGCCGAAGTCCATGACAAATGATGTTTGTCTCTCAATTGGGATGACATTGTGCCTGAAAAAAATCAACCCAGAAGTGATCATCCATTATCCTTAGCTCTGAGACTCTCCTTTCTCTTGGGTCCATTTTTCTTGCTGGGGGTCCAGGGCTATATTACTATGTTCTGACCATCGACTTGCCACTCTTCAGTTTTCCCCAGCCCTGCAATTCTGTCCTGGTGAGTCAATTTCCTGTCCTGGTCAGTCTGACACATACATAGTACGGTGAGTGGCTGGATCAGGAAGTTGATGAAATGTTGTTTCTTCGTTTCGTCTGTAGTCGTCCAAAATTCCAAATTGAATCTCTTATTTATCCACCCGTCGAGCTTGTCGTTAACTAGCGTGAATCTTGCGTCAACAGAGAAAACCCAGTTGCGTGCGAGGGACTGATATACTCTGTGAATTAACGTGATTGTCCTGAGGGTACAAGGACAATATCTCTTTTGCGTTGGCCCATGTATACCACAACTTTTTTTTATCTGGAGAGAGAGGTGAGACAGAGAACCAGCAAGTGCTTTTTTTTTTTTTTGCCGGCGAAGTTTTAGTATGTTCTACCTGTTGGGATATTCACCGGGGAGGTTGCCTGGGCCC